AAAAAAAAAAAAAAAAAAAGTACCCAAAGCATTTTGGGCTTGAATAAAAATACAAATTTCATGTTCTTTGTTGCCTTCTCCATACGGGGTTTTTACTCGTAATTAACGCTCACATTTGGGGGCCATCATGGACTCAACACATCACAATTGATGAACTAATAAAAATCAGAAAAAGCATCAGTTTGCTTATGCTAAACCCTTCGTCTTATCTGCAAAAATCGATCTTTTATCTCTTCGATTACCTCCACCAGAATTGATATTGCGTGAGAAAAAATGGCGAGCCTCGGGAACTTTCCCGCACAGGCTCACAGCAGCACGTTACTCCCCAAACCCACTGCACCATATTTCCCATTCCCCACTAAACCTCACTTCTCATTTCCCACTCGCCTCAACCTCGAAGCTGCTCGCGGACGAATCCAAACTGGATTACATTGTAAGGCCATGAGAGCAATAGGTTCAAAGGGCGGCTCGAGCTTCGTTGAAACGGACGGCCCAGATGAATTTGAGGATGATTTTGATGATGGATTTCTCGATTTAGACGATGATGGTGGTGGCGGCGGCATTGAGGAGGACGGGGACGAGGATGAGGCTTTTATGCCGATGATGAACGCGAAAAAATGGATTGAGAAGCGGCCACGCGGCTTCGGTGAAGGCAAAGTTTATGATACTTCAATTGAGGATAAGCTGATGGAAGAAATTGAGCAGAGTCGAAAAGCTCAGCTTGCCAATGTCAACAAGCTTAAGAACAGTGCTGCGAAATCGAATCCTAGCTCTAAGAAAGAAATAAACAAGGAAGTAAAGGGTCAGTTTCTTTATTCATGTTCTGTTGTGGTTCAGCCTTCTTGATGCTTTGACATGTTGCGGTACATTAAGCTAGCTCCAAATCAGTTATCTTATGAGAATTATGGGAGATGTTACGGTCCGTTGCGGAACCATTCCGTCGGGGTTTACAACCATTAGACCAACTATTCCCGACGGTTACATGATGATCTGACGGTTACAAACCCGACGGAATGGTTCCGTAACGGGACCGTAGCATTTCCCGAGAATTATATGTAGTATTAGGTATTGTTGTTGCTGTTTTTTCTTTAGTTTTTGTTGATAGTAGGATCCAAGGTATCATTATGTATGTGACCTTTTTTCTTTGTTGGGTTATCTTAGTGCTAATGTAGACTAATGACATTGTTTATAGTATATCATTTTGTACACTGAAATTATTCAACACTTGTAAATCTATTGATTTGTTCAACTTGTGCAGCTTATGTTTGAGTTAAATTTGAATAAGTTGTTGTTTAAGTTGGATGAGCTGTGCTGAATTTTGCAGGCGCTACACATATTGAGGATGGAACATTCCGAGTGCGTTTGCTCAACCTTCCAAAGAAGAAGAACATTCACAAGGACTTAAGACTAGCTTTTGAAGGAGCTCGTGGAATAGTGAATATAGACCCAGTTGTTTCGGGGAATGAGAAAACTCGGGATCCAGTGTGCAAAGGACTAGCGTTCGTTGTCTTCAAGCACCAGGATGAGGCACAGAGGTATGTGTATTCGATTCAGATTCTTAAAATGTTATACTTTTCTATTTTCATGTTTATGATCGTTGTGTAAAGCTGTGACTTTATAGTTTGAATGAAATCAAAGGGAAAATTGGACCGATTGTTGTGGTTTAGCCTTATTACAAAGATAGCCATATATTTTTTGTGTGACGCATTGCTAACACCCTTTTGAGTTTGGTGTTTATTTTACACATACCCAATTTAAGAGTACGTTGGGTGTTTGTAGTTCTGGAAGATAAGAGGGTATATTATATGCTCAATCTTTTCAAAATTTTCAATTCTACCCTAATGTTTAAAAATCGTGATTATATTCTCCTACATTCATGCATTTTATGCTACAGGTACTCATGTTGATTTCATAATGTTAGTTATGAAGTCGACGCATTGAAGAAAATACCTGAATCGCATCAAACGTAGATAGATAAAAGAAAGTGAATATCTAGTAAAATTCTTTCAAACAAGCTACATAGTGGGATTGGTGAAGAGAAATTGGACGTTCATAGGATGGCATTTGATCGACATTTCATCTTTGACAAACCGCGACAGTTTTTCGGCTGGGCAAAAACCGGAAAGCTATTTTTTGGAAAAAAACAAAAAATAATTGAAAATTAAGTACTTAGTGGACTTTTTAAAGGTTGTGATAGAATTTTGAGAAAGTAAAAACTTAGAGTATTTTCTCGTTACCATATGTTTCTATGGTTATACTGTACTTCATGCGCAGTTTCCTTATGTATCTATATAATAATTGCCGAAATTGAAGAATTATGACGTACTAAAAAGATCTACTGTTTTGTTTTAAAAGTTATGGATGTGTTACTATTAGATTGATAAATCGAATATTTGATGAACAAGATGGTCAAGGTAATGAACAGAGAATAGAGAGGCGATCGACTGATAATTGGGAAAAAATGTATAATGTGAATGTCTTACAGATACCCTAAATGTCCCTATTTATATCCGATATCTTTACAACTAAAAGTGCTATTCTAAAACAACAACTTTCTATACACTTTGTAAAGGTAAAATACAAACAATGACTATTTGACTAAATACATATAATCTATTAGTAACAAAACCTTTACAAATTGAGAATCCACTGCTCTTAGATCATACTACTGTCCTTGTAAATGTGAGTACTGTTTCTTGCTAGGTTCGTGCAGAATTTTTCGGGCAAAAGCATAACTTTTGGCAAAGTTCAGAAGCAGATAAGATGTGAATTGGTGAATCCCAAGAAGTCTAACCCTGCACTTGAACAATTACCTCATGACGGTGATTTCACACTTGGAAGGGCCATTTTCAGTTCGGACGTAAAAGATGTTGATGTTGAATCTGATGTTTCACCATTATATTCATGGGAAGAAAGTGCACCAATTGAAGTAAATGATGATGATGATGAAGAAGAACAGGAAGAGATCAATGGAACTTTAACTACCTCGGACTCTGATTTAGCTGATGAATTGGAACTAAAAGAGGGATTTGCAGTAAACTCATCCACCTCAAGCTCGGGAAGGAAGAGCGCAAACAAGAAAAAAACATCTAAACGGAGGAAAAACAACGTTTCAAAGTTGAACATCCCAGGATCTGCCAATAGGTAAAAACTCTGAAACATTATTATTATTAACCTTTGTTACTGTCGTCTTCTTAATCAAGTTTCATGAATGAGATAACATTATAGGTTCATTAACTTTCTCAAGCTGTCTTTGACAAAGCAGGTTAAAGATAAGAGAGAAGGAAATGCTCACAGGTGTGTTGTCCAAATATGGTGCGGCTGTAAAAGAACAAAGTTCACAATGAATTGTATATGCTTTAGTAAGATGTATTACTTCTTCAAGCATGACATGGAAGGTTGTATCTTTTTTTATTTTAATTTATATTTCATTTAACTTTTGGGGCATTAGTTTCTTTATTTCCAAAATCAGTGAATTGATGCAGCTTTGATGATGTAGCATACGAGTGAGAAAGATAAACGAGATATTCTCTCGATAACTCACAATCAATTTATATTTTCATTCAATGATCAACTGAGTAAAATAAACTAAAGAAAGTCGTTTATATAAGGCTCCTAATCTTAAACTTAACTTAATCACTAAAATAATAATAATAGTAATAATAATACTAATATTATTCTACACTTCGAGCTTGGAAAAACTATTAGAGCATGCTTGGATATAAATTTGTTTTTGTTTTGATTTTGGGTTGGTTAAATTTGAAAAAGTAGGTATGGTTAGTTGTTAGTGGATATAATAAAATAATATTTAAAATAAAATAATTAAAATTAAATTGATGTAAAAGTAAGAGAGAGAAAATGTGATGTGATAGTTAGTTAAATTTATGTGAGTAGATGAATGAATTAAGGTTGATGTTGTGTGTAAGAATGATTGATTGATATTATTTAATTATATTGATAATATTGATGATAGTGGGTTGAGTTAAAGTTGAGTTAAAAAAGTAGTTGAATTAAAAATGTTTGGATTTTTTTGAGAAATTTTTGTATCCAATCATGCTCTTATGGATTTATGGTTGTTATTCTTTTTTTTTTTTTTTCCAAACGATTAGATATCTCATAAATCAATAAAAACGTTTACAATCGGAGGACATACTAGTCCTTACAGAACATAATGAGAACCACTCCTACAAGGTGGCCTAGCCCAAACAACAAACAAGTGCCCATGGCAAGACCTAGGTCAAGAAACCCAAAGGCACTACAACCAAACAAAAACACAAAGAAACAGAAAAACACAGAGAAGAACAAACTCCCAGCCACTGACCTTAAAAAGGACCTAGCTAAGGGAAAAGCTAAAAACAAACAGAACACAAACTAAAACCAACAAGAACAACAGACTAAAAAATCAACAGAACTCAGACCATTCACTGTGGGCAAGCCTAGCCACAGTCTCTTCAGGCAACCAAGTGTTCTGAAAAACCCATAAATTTCGGGACTTCCACAGCCACCACAAGATGTAAGTTGACAGCTGAATTCTGGCTTCAACAATGGATGTTAACTTTAACTCAGAAAGTTGCCACCACCATCCTCTGAAGTCTGTTGTAGCAGCATCATAGAAGTCCCAGGTAACAGGGGAGGCTTTCCACACTTTCTGGGCTCTGTGACAGTCAAACAGTACATGCTCAACTGATTCCAAAGCATCACCACAGCATCTGCAGATTGCATCAACCCCCAACTTCCTTTTAACCAAATTCAGGCACACTGGGAGATTATTAGTGAAATATTTCCAAAGAAAATGTCTCAGTTTAGGCTTTAACCCTCAAAGACCAGCATCTCAACCTAGCTTTCTTGTCCACAATCAGGGTATAGCTGCAGCTTGGGGCATCCAGCTTTAATACCTTATGATCAATTCCAACTGCATAGGCAGAAGCAACAGAGAATCTTCCCTTAACATCAGGACTCTAAACCCATCTATCTCTCTCATCTGGGTTTAGGTTATTCAGAGCCAAAATAGCTTTGCAAGAAGACTGAGTGAAGAGATGCTGTAGTAAATCAATATTCCAAGACCTCCCAGAATCAGACAAAAGTTCCCACACCCAAGTCACCTGCAGACAGTCAACATTAGGATTGATCTCAGGAATGCCAGATTTAAGCCCCAGTACCCAAGGATCAGACATAATTTTTGTAGAGACCCCATCCTTAATCTTCATTCTGAACATGTCCTTATGAACATTCAACACTCTAGCCCAAGAGTTCCAAAGCCAAGAAGCTGAGGTTTTGCATTTAGCATTCAACACACATCCATCAGGAAAGTATTTCTCCTTCAAGATTATGGTCATCAAAGAGTTTGGTTTAGTCAGCAACCTCCAAATCTGTTTTAAAATTAAGGAATCATTGAAGACTCTGAAATCTTTGAAACCTAATCCCCCAGCACTCTTAGGAGTAGTAGCTTTTTGCCAAGACAACCAATGGATTCCTTTCTTATGATCCTTACCAGAAGACCACCAGAAATCAGCACACAACTGTGCTATTTCCTTACACACTCCAACAGGTAAGAGAACCTCTTTACCAGCAAATGACAGAAACCTGTTCTTCCAGCTTACAATTTTCTTTTTGACTGCAGCAGTAACAAACTCAAACATCTCTTTTTTAGATTTACCAATGCCCAGAGGGAGGCCTAGATATCTGGATGAAAAGCATACCTCAATCCCCTGAAGACACTGACATACATTAACTTTCAGATTATCAGTGGCATTTCTGCTGAAAAAAACAGAGGATTTGGATAGATTGACTTTCTGCCCTGTAAAATTTTGATAAGATGCCAAGATCCTAAGCAAGCTCTGAGAGTTTTTAATATCAGCTGAGCAAAATAAGAGAGCATCATCCGCAAACATAAGGTGAGACAGAATAGTGCCACCTCTGACTAGACTCAGTCCCTGCAATTCACCTCTGGTAATAGCATTGTCTATCAGCTTTGAGAACACCTCAGAGACCAGAAGGAACATATAAGGAGAAAGAGGATCTCCTTGTCTTATGCCACGGGTAGGAGTAACAAAACCAGTCACATTTCCATTAACATTGAAGGAGAACACAGAAGAAGATACACAAGCAAAAATCCATTGCACAAAAGTAGATTTGAAGCCCATTTTCAGCATTATCTTAGCCAAACAATTCCATTCTACTCGGTCGTAGGCCTTCATCATGTCAAGTTTAACTGCCATAAAACATTTACTCCCAGACCTAAGTCTATTCAGATAGTGAATTACTTCATGGGCTATCACCACATTATCAAGTAGTTGCCTCTCCGAGATAAATGCAGATTGAGTTGCACTAATGCAGAGTGTCATACATTCTTTTAATCTAGAAGCAATCACTTTAGCAATGATCTTATAAGAGACAGAGCACAAGCTAATCGGTCTAAATTGAGTAACCGATTCAGGATTATCACATTTAGGGATTAGAGTAATGATAGTGTGATTCCAGCTTCTAGACAATCTACCAGTTTCAAAGAATTTAATAATAGCAGCACATACATCATTTTTAATGAGAGGCCAGAAGTGCTGATAGAATAATGGAGTCATACCATCCTCTCCTGGCGCTTTATTTGGATTCATGGAGAACAGTGCAGCTTTAATCTCAGGTTCATCAACAGGTGCCACCAACTTCAAGTTATCTGCCTCAGAGATGACAGTGGGAATAAGTGGTAAGATCTCTTCTTCACCCCAAGAGCCTTCAGTGGTAAGCATTAGTTCAGCTCCTTTTTTGAGAAGGTAAATTCAGCTGTGGGGTCCCACAAACAAAGTGGAGAAGAAGTAGTGTGTGGATATTATTTCTTGGGGTAAAAAATAAAAATGTAGATGGTTTTCATGTTTCATCATGTAGGTTTCTACTTGGGTTCCTACTTGGTTGTTGGGAAAATGATAAAAAAAAAAAAAACCAGGTGAAAGAGTAGTTTTGATCTTTTCTTTCTTACTTTCTTCTTCATTTTTTATTAATTAAAAAAATGGTTGCATTCCTTATTTTTATTTTATTTGATCAACAAATGTAAATTTATAGATCAAAACTGGTGTTTCAACGTCCGACAAACGATAAACAAAAGTATAGTGGGCAGTCACATGCTCAGTTCCTCACTTGCGAATGAAAAGTCTAATAGGACAACCACAACCCAGTTGCTCGCTCAAGTCCCTAACCAAGGCGAAAATACATAGAACACATGCGCGTCGAGGCAAGATACTCGGCGCCATGCCCGTCACGTATAGAGTCTGGGCACTAGGGCGCAAAGATGCCAACCCCCAAACTCTCCATGAAAAGGAAAAGCCTATACCGCAAAGGCTTTACTTTAATATTCGGCAAGCACATTCGGATACAACGCAAAGATTGCACGATAAACATGCATTTGGATCTCAAGAATCACTAAGCTCGGAGATTGAGATTCATTTTCGAAAATTAACCTATTTCTCGCATTTCAAATGAAGTAAACGGGTGTTGTGAGTAGGGCTGAGCATGGGACTCGGAGAATTCTGAACCGTTTCGAAAACCGAATCGAAATTACTCCGAACCGAAAAATAACCGTTGACCGTTTGACTTTCTCCAAACTGAACCGAACTGAAAAATAATTGGTACGGTTCTGGAGATTTCACAAATATCTGTACCGAGAACCGAACCGAACCGTCCCATACCGTACCGAATCGAAGAACCGAAATACCGAAATTAAGAACCGAATAATAACGTTAGATGTGTTATTAATATATTTTATGTCACATTTGATCCTTTATAATATAATAATAATAACTATTAACCTTCACTTAACTTTCATACTTGGTAATACTTGATTTACAATTGAATTTTTTCTATTATAAAATAGTTATTTAAAATAATATGAAAGGTTAAAGAATATTTTTTTAGAAAAAAATATTATATTTTGTTTGAATTTTAAATTTTCAATATTAGTTGCAAAAATTTAGAGTTACTTCTAAAGTTGATTTCAACATAAAATTTTTAATGAGGAAGTATTGATGAATGTTGGTTTTATTAAAGCATATAAAAATTGAATAACTAAAATTTAGAGTTACTTCTAAAATTGATTTCAAAATAAAATCTTCAATATGATGAATTATTGATGAATATTGTTTTTTTAAAGCATATAAAAATTAATATTTAATTAAGTAGTCATTAAAAAAATCTAAAAAAATAAAAAATCTCCGAAGATCCGAACCAGATCATACCGAACCGTATCGTCTCAATAGTCCCGAATACCGAATCGAACCGAACCGAAAAATAAAAATCTCTGAACCGAACCGAACCGAACCGACTTTTTGGTACGGTTCCGGAGATCGAATTTTGGGATCTCCGAACTTTGGTACGGTTCTGGAGATTTATCAATCTCCGAACCGTACCGACCCACGCTCACCCCTAGTTGTGAGTGTCGTTTTCTTCAACTTAGTTTGCCAACTAGCCCCTCGAGCCTCCTTAGTCCGTTTAAGCGCCCCTTTAAGCCGATGACAGAGGTTAACCCAAGCACGAATCGCCCCCAAATTTTCGAGCTAAAGGGGCACTCGAAAAATAGGTGACCCCATGATTCCATAACACCACCACAAAGGGAGCAAGTCGGGTCTTCATCGAGGAACTCTAACTGGTCCTTAGTTCAGAGACGATTGAACGCTCCCAACCAAAGAATGAAGAAATGTTTAGGGGTATTGCAAGGCCCTCAAACTACCCCGTCCATAACACCATTGTCCCGCAAGACCTCAAGAAATTATAGCAACTTCTCGAACCATCTTGCTTACGTCGTGAATTCCAACAATGAAGTAAAGCATTTGCGGCTTGCTCACTACCCACTTTATCAACGAAGGCATGTCGATCTCAAAAAGATATTTGAATAGGGGTGAGTTATCCTTGTGTATTTTTCATTCCCAAATGGACTTGCCCCCAAATAAACGTAATGGAGTTGCTTTTCTTATTTGTGTGTGTGAAGGTGAGATTATTAGAATATTCACTTGTGAGTTATCCCACATCGTTTATAAAGGGAAAACACTTTTAATTTATAAGTCTAGTGGGCTGCTCCTCCTTCCACCAATTGGTTTTGGTATGGAACCATACTAAGATGTACTTAGACTCACCATCTTATGGCGCGCTTCATCTGCGTGTGACCGCATATGTTTTTTCCTCCATTTCTTACATGGTATCAGAGTCGGTTCTATTAAAACCGTTCGATGACGTACCTATTTTTCTCGACTCAGTTGGGGTTGGGCTCCCGGATCTTTATATGGGCTTGGGCTTCTTATGAAGGACTCACAAGTGAGGGGACATATTAGAATATTCACTTGTGAGTTTCCCACATTGTTTATATAATGAAAATAGATCTAATTAATAAGTCTAGTGAGATACTCCTCCGCCACCAATTGGTTCAGGATAATACCTCACTAAGGTGCACTTAGACTCACCCTCTTATGGTGCACTTCATCTGCGTGGGACCGCACCCGTTTTTCTCCCCGTTTCTTACAGGGATGAACAGTATAGACAACTACTATCCGAAATTGGCACAAATCGCATATCATCCTTAAGAATTTTATATGCATCAGACACATTTTTATTTCTTTTTTCATTAACCCAAAGGCTATATGAAGTTTCCACGTGTATTAATTGTAGTTTCTATGGATCGATTGCCAATCTCAAAAGCTTGTTTACCCATACTACGCTAAAAAAGGACTAGCTGCAATCTAGCTGAAACATAATTCTAATGTGTTTATAATTAATAGTGCAGAACATGTGCGATGCATAAAGTGGATAATTTTAAGGCTATTTATCCTGCCTTGTTATTATATTTGTGAATAAGGAAAATTAAATACATTGAATGAAAAAACTACTATATATTGTTATAAACCTTCTAATAGACAAATTATTTGCCTTGTAGGTACACCATTCTACCCACAAACTAATATTTTCAAGCGCGTGTGATAAAGACCGACTATGTCTCTTGTTAATTGTCATGACATAAGAAACCATTAGAACAAACTATCTCCGCTGAAATTTGAAAAGTACTCTGATATCAAAAGGTAATAGAGTCATGCAAGGTATCTAACACCTTCTCTCCTACATTAGATCAAGACAATACATTAGTTTGAAGCACATGAGTTGAGAACTTTGTAACAACCAATCTCGTATCATTGCACAACCCCAACTTTTTACACCTAATCTCTAGCGTTGAAAACGGACGAAAAAGGTCGGAAAAACCCCATTTCTACTTCCGTTTCTATATTTGTTGGCAGAAACGGGGTCGGGTTCGGAAACGGATGGGTGATATTCGGATGCACGGAAACGAACCAATACGGACGGTAATTCAACGGAAACGGTCAGAAGCCGGAAACCAGTGGCGGAGCCACCAGTATGGCGAGGCATGGCGGCCGCCATACCTGGCCGCCGGCGAACACCCCCCCACCCCCAGTTCTTTTTGTATTTTTTGATATTTTTTTGTATAATTCAGCTTTTTGTATTGTTTGAATGCTGGAAAGAGAAAATGGAGAGAGATAATAAAGTGAGAGAGAAAATGAGGTAGAGAGAGAAAAGGGTGTAAAAAGTCAGAAATACCCCCACTTCATGTACTATTGTTCACAGTGAAATTTCTAAGGGCAATTTGGTAAAAAAAAGTATATAAAAAAAAACGGAAGAGCCTAATTCCGTTTGTAATGTCTCAGCTTTTGGCCAATAAACCTAATTCCCAATTGCTTCGTGTTCGCCTATATTTTTAAAGCTCGACCGCAAGTGTACGGCTTCGCTCGTAGT